CAATTTACAGGAACTGACCCAGAAAGAAGGCGAAGAATGCGTAAAATAGTATGAACGAAGAAGCTGATAAACGTGGATAAATCTAAATAAGAACTGACAATTAAATAGTAATAAAACAATCACAGATTAAAAGAAAAAACTAAAAATAATGTAGGCCCAAAAAAAAAGACAATAATCATTTGAAAGATGAAGGGGAACAGAAGTGCTTGAATTGAATGAAGAAAGGTAAAGATACTTAGAAGCTTCTGGAATTTAAGTCAAACACTGATGTTAAAAATGTACAAGTAATCGATTAACAGAAAAAATTCCAAACCAGTAGGAGGAATCCAAGAGATTAAAGAAAAATTCAATCAATCCAAAACCTGGAAAAACAAAAGGGAAAAGAAAACAGCAAAAAACAAAGAGAAAAGGCATTTAAAAATAGAAAATAAGATGTACTAAGTAAATCAAAACGTAATTAATCACAATCAATGTAAACAGATTAAACTTGCCTGTTAAAGAGACTTTCAGAATCTATACACTACTCATAAAATATATATCCAGAAATATACAGACCAAGTACACACCAACTACACAAAAGCAAATTTAGCTATAATAGTATAGAGCAAACCAGACCTTAAGCAAGGAAAGCATTATTAGGGACAAAGAACGTTAGAAAAATGTGGAAGAAATCTCCCAGAAAGTATAGCAAAAACATAAAGGATTGGAAAATAGGAGATTTTTTTTTAAAAAAAAGGAAATTACAGGAGTGGTCCCATAGGTACAATATCTGAATAAAAGGAGTTCCAGAAAGAGAGAAAATTTAGAAAAGGTCAGAGGGCTGGAGAAAATCATAATAGGAAAAATATCGAGACAGTAGCCATGTTTTTCCAGACTGAAAAGGACCACCTAGTTGACACCCATCAAAACTGATGAAAATAGATCTGCACAAAGGTATATCATCAGAAAGTTACAGAACCTTGGAACAGAGAAGATATATGAAACTTCCAGAAAGAGAAAATAGGTCACATGTAAAGGACCAGAAATCTTAATGACTTCAAGTTTCTTATCAGAATTACCGGAAGATAGAGTACAATGGCATTGTATCTTTCAAAATTCTGAAGGAAAATTATCTCTAGCCAAGAATATTATAGCTAGCTCAACCATCAATTAGGTGACAGAGTAAAGAGAGGTTTGTTTAAGAAAATGATATTGATAGAATATCTCTTGCATCAATGTAATGAAGGGAGATTTAGATAATTGTCAGAGAACTTTGTGGCTGAAGTAGTGATAAGAACATAGAAAACATAAAATCAGACAGTTATCAGCTCCCAGAAAAATGGAAAGTGCAGAAAAGGAAAAGTAATTACAACATGCTGCAAGGATCAGCTAGAAAGTGCACATTTGCAGTCATAATAATATAAACACTTGGCAGGGCCCAGTGGCTCACACCTGTAATCCCAACATTTTGGGAGGCTGAGGCGGCGGATCAATTGAGGTCAGGAATTCAAGACCAGACTGGCCAACGTGGTGAAATACTAAAAAAATTTTTTTAAATTAGCCAAGTGTGGTGGTGTGCACCTCTAGTCCCAGCTGCTGTGGAGGTTGAGGCAGGAGAATCGTTTGAACCTGAGAGGCAGAGGTTGCAGTGACCATACCACTGCACTCTGGCCTGGGTGACAGAGCAAGACTCTGTCTCCAAAAAAAGAAACAAATTAATCACAAAAATATCAACCCTTAATATTTATTGAATCAAAAGGATGATACATTGTGAGAATTAGGTGATGAAAATGGTGCATGTAAATAGTAAGAGAAGGTAGAAAGGGGAGCTAAAATCTCACCTTTCATAGTGAGAAGTCAAAGACAAAACCTAAAATTGACAAACCAAGAGGTAGATATGTAGTCACGTTGTTTGGTGACATGGAAGCAAATAATAAAAGAATCCACCGAAAAATTTGAAAGTGGCGCTCTAGGGTCTTCTCTTTTTTAAAACGAGACATTGCCAACAGTTCTTCATAGAGATTTTACCAATTCGTTCTCCCCTGAGCAGTATATGAGAGGGACGTACCACATCCCACTTGATCAATTGAGGTCCTGTAAGGAGTAGATGCCAAGCCAGGGTTATTTACGCAAGAATTTTACTGATGGAAATGCCTGGGAAGGACAAAATGGGGAGGAGGGGAACACGAAGAGCCTTTGGACTACAATGCAAGTCTAACACCTGTGAAAGAGGGAAGGAAGACTCAGGTAGGAAGAAAAACCTTAAACTTTTACATAATAAATGGACAGTCCCAGAGCAGAAGTTGCACGTATGGACAAGTTATAGTATTCCCACCATACTCAGACATTGACAGGGAGCAGCCCTGGGGAAATGTGTGAGCCCAGCTCCAATATGTGAGCTGCAGCAGATCAGAAAAGGCAGCAGCCTTCAGTTAACTGTGTTCAGTGCTGTGTTGGAAAATGATTAACAACTAGCTCTACAGAAAGTTTTTTTAAAAAGGCCTTGATTTGTAGCTTTTGCTACTTTCTGTGGTGTAAATACTCCCACTGTGGCTAATTTCAAGCTACCACTGTGAGATCACTAAATGCTGAGTTAAGAAGAGATGCTAACAACAGGCTTTCTAAAGCCAGGAGCTGGACCGAGGGTGCCGCTGACTGTACTCCACACAACACGTGTTTATGAAAGGAGATTTGAGCGGTGTGCCTACTTAGCTACTACACCAGTAGCCTAGCGTTCTAACAGTTTCGGGCTTTGCAGCATGATAAATGAAAATTGTACTTAGTGCAGATTTACTGTGCATTTCTTGAATATGAGCAAAATTGAGGGAATCTTTTAATATAAATATTATTGCAGTATTACATATAATTATAAATGTATTTATTATTATACAATATATTTACTGCAATACTAGTCAAACCAATCTTTTGATTATTTTTAATTGACAGAAATAATTGCATGTATTTACTATGTAGAACATGACGTCTTTAAGTATGTATGCATTGTGGAATGACTAAATCTAGCTAGTTAACATATGTGTTTCTTCACATAGTTATCATTTTTGTGGTGAGAACACTTTACATCCACTTTCTTACCATTTTTACAGAATGTAGTACATCGTTAACTATAGTCACCATGTTGTATAATAGATTTCTTGAATTTAGTTCCACCTAACTGAAGTTTTGTATTCTTTGACCATCTCTCCATTCACCCCACCCTCTGGTTACCATCATTCTACTCTATATGAGATGAACTTTTCTAGATTCCACATGAGTGATTCCTTTTATTAAAATCTTTAGGCCTATGTTCTAAATAACCAATGTATTAATGTAATCATCTGTGTAGTGTGCAAAACATAAATACTGCTTATTGTCCCCTATTATGTGATTTGTATTTTCAAAATTAACTCCTTTAACTCACTTCAGAAGATAAATTTGAAAAAAAAAATCTTTAAAAGCTTCAGGTAGGTGGACTCAAAACTTGGAAAATGAATTACTATGATTTCTTTTTTCCCATAATTTGTAAAGTAATAATTACATATACAGTATGAAAATACAATGTCTACATTAAATTTGGGGGAAATGATATTTGTATTATTATAGTTGATTGAATGTAAATATTTTATGGAAAAAGTCACTGAAGAAAAGTTTCAATCTATCTCCCAACACACATAGAGAAACAATAATATATTATAATGTATAATAATAATAATAATAACAGAATAAGGAATTTTCCATCGAGCAGTCTACAGAGTAGAATCTATAGGAACATCTTAGGACAATTAAGTTAGTAATATTACCATTATTAAGACATTTTAATAATAGATATATTCTATACTGACTCTTCTATATATTATGAATTGAAATTACTGGTTATATCCTATTAGCTTGGTATAACAACTTAAATATCATCTGCTATTAAGTTAGAGGCTGAGAAGCTGTGAATGAAGTGGTCTTTTAAGCTTTTACATATTTTAATTACTTCTAGGTGCACTGATAACACTGAAGAAGCAGAGCCTTAAATTAGACCAGACATCAGAAGTCATCTGATATGGTTTGGTTCTGTGTCCCCACCGAAATCTCATCTCGAATGGTAATCCCCACATGTCAAGAGAGGGACCTGGTGGGAGGTGATTAGATTATGGGGGCAGTTTTCCCCACGATGTTCCCATGACAGTGAGGGAGTTCTCACGAGATCTGGGGGTTTTAAAAGTGGCAGTTTCCCCTGTGCTCCTTTCTCTCTCCTGTCGCCATGTAAAGAAGGTCCTTGCTTCCTTCCACCAGGATTATAAGTTTCCTGAGGCCTCTCCAGCCATGTGGAACTGTGAGTCAATTAAATATCTTCTGTTTATAAATTACCCAGTCTCAGGTTGTATATTTATAGCAGTATGAAAATGGACTAATATGTCATCCAATACCCACAAATATATTCAGACAAAATGTAAAGCAAAAGCTATGAGGAAGAAACCAAAGTGGCAAAAATTCAAGAATTGCTCTTCCATAAAACTTTCTTTATCTTTATGTTAACTCTACCACTGTTGCCATAAGTATCTTGAGAGGAGCAGTCAATAGATCTGTGAATGAACAGAGTGTTCAAATGCTGAAGCTTTTCAAAGAAAATACATCTACTTATTAGGTTGTTATAATAGTAAATGTGGTTTTTACCATTAAAAGTAATTGTGAAAACCACAATCACTTTTGCACCAACCTAATATCTTCTTTCAATCAATTATGTAGTTTGTGAACCATAATTGACTTCAAATGCCACCACTTTTCTTCTCCTCCACTTCTTCCATCCACAACCTCCAATTCCCAGTAATTAGTATTTTCAACCAGATATCAAGGAAAAGAAATAGATGAACACTAACTTAAGGTGATCAAATGCAATAACTTTTGGCAAGGGTTTCAAGAAAGTTGAAAATGGTGGCTAAAAAGAGGTTTGGATTATCTGTGGAATCCATTTATCCTGATGTTTTCAAAACATATGACCCACAGTACTCAGAAAACCAAAACAAAGGACTTACCTCATCCACATTTTCAAAGGCATTGATGATGTCATAAGGTAAACAAGACAGCAGATCGATCACAAACCAAGTTTTCAGATAGTTCATCCTTATGAGCTTAGGGTCAGAAATGACCTCTCCACCAGGCCCCACGAAAGTTGTGTGAAAATTTAAAACGATGTCAACCAGAAAAATAACGTCCACCACACTATCCAGTACCAGCCAGGCTATGTTGTTCTGTTTTGTTTTGAAGGAAACATTATAAGGAACCATAATGGCGGTGTAGAAGGTAAGAATTAAAATCACCCAATCCCAAGTAGTTTTAAAAGCACAATAATGTAAAATAATGTGTGGTGGCGTCTTTGGCGCTTCTTGTTTATACTGAGGAAGGATATCTGATCCCAGCTGAAGAACCTAAAAGAGAGAAAATGTGTTTATACATGACTAGGTTATCTCTGCACAGTCAGTGATGAGTTCAAATCTACTGGCAGTCAAACCACAGCCAGTCATGCTCCATAGTCTTGCCTCCCTCTTTTCCTGAGTTGTCCTAAAATTTGTTCACAGGAAGTCACTCCAAGTCCAAGCGCTCTACCAAAGCTGATCTTTCTGCTGTTCTATCTGGCCTGCTCTGACGCAGTAGCCAACACTGATCCACAATACTGCTAGATGTCCACTTCTTCAAGTGCCTCCAGCACACTCACTCTGTAAGCCCCCCTAGAATCACATGGCTCTCATGGACTGTCCGGCAGTTATTTGGGTGACACACCATTATCTATTCTTTATACACATTTAGCACCTCGGGAAGCATAACTTTGATTCTGATGGCCTCGCTGGACCCCAGCATCCCACTGTTGGTGATGTTGTTGTTGAGTGATACTCAGCAAGGGCCCTGATGGCTGGCACGGCAGTGTAAAGGATTGTAAAGGGTATCACCTGCTTTTTCCCTTTCTCCCTTAGATCTGGACTTAAAGAATATTGTGTTTCTTGCCCAAGTGCAAATTTCCTTTAGGGAAAAAAATATTAAATACTCAAGTTTGTTTCTGTATATCTATTTGACAAATGGAAAAATTTCAGTGTAAGGTTATATGAACCTTGAATTATACTAATTAGGTCTAATTACAGTAGAAAAAAAAGATAAAAAGCAGATGACAGAGCAAGAGTAGAGGTTTGTGTATCCCTGGGCAAAGATAACCAACACAAGACATAGCATTGCCTTCTGGAACCTGGAACCTGGGAATTCTAAAAAATAGTTGAGGCAAGCAGATCACGAGGTCAGGAGATCGAGACCATCCTGGCCAACATGGTGAAACCCCATCTCTACTGAAAATACAAATATTAGATGGGTGTGGTGGTGCATTCCTATAAATCCCAGCTACTCAGGAAGTGGAGACACCAGAATCACTTGAACACAGGAGGCAGAGGTTGCAGTGAGCTGAGATTGCGCCACTGCACTCCAGCCTGGCGACAGAGCGAGACTACATCTCAAAAACAAAAACAAACAAACAAAAAAAAACAGTTGAAGGGGTAAACCAAAAACTTCTGCCCTTTGCCATCAATGAAGCCAAAGATAACGTATGTGTTAAAGAGTTTGGTAAATTGAAATTTTTAAATATTTTCAACAGCTTTGCCCATCATATGTATTCAGTTATTCAGTGTCTCTAGGACTAATGGGACCCAGGAGGTAGGAGTCAAAAAGTCCAAATCATAAAATCATAAATGCATTAAATATGTAGATGTAGGAATGGATAAAAATAAAAATACTTGTTAGCATGTAACTCTGAGTTATAATATATGCCAAAAAACAAAACAAATATACTAGCATCTTTGGAAGCTTGGGAGAGTATCCTAAAGTTCCTCTCACATACAGAACTTATGTATCGGAAAACTAAGAATATAATATCCATTGTTACTATTTTTTGATATCGAAAACATCATTGGTAGTCTCTTTAATTGTATGTTAGAATTGTTGTTTTTATTTTGGAGTTTGTAAGAATACTTGTAAAGATATTTTATGTATTTGCCATTATCAGTACCTCAGTTATATTTTTCCCATGATGTCTTAAATTACTTAACAGCAAATTATCCTGCCAGGAGTGTAAGTCATGTTGGGGTGAAGCATTATATATATACAATTGTACATAATCGTGGTGTTTCTTTTGCCTTTCAACCACTGGCCTGTCAGTTCCAATTTCATTGTGCTACACATGAAAATTGCCTTCATATTCAATGTTAGTAGTTTACCATCTATATATACACAGTCTATGTTTAACCACAAATAAATCAAACTTGGGAAATAAGAACAAACTCAGTGCCAGGATGCATTACCACTTTCATGGACCCTAAGCCTTTGTTCCTTCCTGGACTCCTTCATGGTGAAACCCCGTCACTACTAAAAATACAAAAATTAGCTGGGCGTGGTGGCACGTGCCTGTAGTCCCAGCTACTCTGGAGGCTGAGGCAGGAGAATCATTCGAACCTGGGAGGCAGAGGTTGCAGTGAGCTGAGATCGCACCACTCACTGCACTCCAGCCTGGGCGACAGAGCAAGACAGTCTCAAAAAAAAAAAAAAAAGTATATACATACATATATATATATATGTGTATATATATATGCATGTGTGTATATATTATAACAGCATTCCTATAAAGATAAATATATTAATATCACACATTCAATTTTCATTTTTACCTAAAAGTTACTCTGTTTTCTTCTGCTGTTAATAGAAATTGAAACATCTTATAGGCCCGTAAAAGCGCTGTGGGGCCCTGGACACTGTGCCTACTGTGCTAACAGATGTCAGCCCTGCTCAGTACCCCAGATTATTGCAGGTCTCCTCTAAAGATGCAATGGCATCACCCTAAATTCAGAAAGTCTTAAACCTAGCTATACATTAAAATCATCTGGGGAAGTTTTAAAAGAATACAGTATACTTATACCTAGACTCCACCCTGGAGAATTATTAAATTGGTCTTGGTTGGGTTCTCAGAGAATCTATAGTTTCAAAACCTTCCCAGGTGTTTACAATGTACAGCCCAAGTTAAGATCTGTCTTACATTTCTTTAGACATTCAGGACCCAATTCTCTAGACAGTGATTTGCGTATGTAAAGCCCTCCAAAAAAATGCAAGATGAGGACAAAAAGGAGGAGGAAAGGGTAGAGGAGGACAAGGAGGAGGAAGAAGAGGAAAATGGCAACAACAAAAAATACTGCACAAAAAATAATTGAAGCTTGATCTTTTTCATATGCAAAGCATTACCTTAATCTTCACTCTGTCCCTGGGCTCTTTTATAAAACAGTGAGTAACAGACTCTTCACTTTCATTGTTATTTCATTTGTGCTTTTATAAGCAACAAGCCTTTGGTGGAGGGAGGATGAAATCACCTTTTTTTGATGTATTTTTGTACCAATACAGACACATTCTTCCTCTCTGAAGATCTGAGAGCATTGACTCCAACAAAGTCAGGCCCACTGACTGATGTGGCGGGGTGCATACATTTATCTCTACCCAACATAAAAGTGAACAAGCTAAAGGCAATCAGCAGGGCGTCAAGGCATGCGGAAAATTAATTAACTACCTTTATGGAGACTGGAATCTTTGAAACTGGGGATCAGCTCCAAATTTGGGGGTTCAGGTAGAACTGAGATCAAATGTATCTGTCTTTGAAAAAGTGGAAGAGCCTAAAATTCCATAGCAAAACCAAATACTTGCATTGAGCAAATTATATGAGTTTTGAGTACCACTGGAAAAACAATATTGTTGTACTTATTTGATATTTCTTTTATGTCTATCTTTGGAGATTAAGAGCATGCGCTGCAGGGCAGGTATTCAGACTAAATGTCTATCGACAATCTTGTTATTTCTGTGTGCTCTCTGAAACCGATCCTAAGATCTCACAGAAAGCAGTTTTATATCAGAACCAGGTTTATGAATAAGGGATGACTGGCAAAGAAACTAACACTAATCACAGAACAAATAAAAAAAAAACAGATGGGATGAAATAGGAAAGTTTCTCAAAAGTAAAAACGAGAAAATGTCAAGGGGAAAGTTTCTTTCTTTTCCCTGGACATAGAGAAAAACAATCCTGAGTGATTCTGGGTGCTAAGGGAGAAGATTTTCTTCTCTATGTCCCCCTTCCACTTGCTCTCACTCTGTTGTGTAACAGACAAAAGAAAAATCCTGAATAAGGTGTGGTTAAGACTCCGAAGGAATCATGACTATAAAAATTAGCAATCACAGAAACAACCTCCTACATTTCAGCTTGATTTGTAGAAAGAAACAGGCAACTTTAGGCAGAAGAGTAAATAGCTCCAAAATCTAAGCATTTTTGCAAAAGAAAGTTGTATCTCACTGTCTGCTTTAAATCTTGTACTAATTGCATATTATCTTTTAAATATTGTGATTATTATTATTAGTTAATATTTAGTTATATTAATGTCTTATTTTGGTCTTTAGAAACATGTCTGCACATCAAAGGATTCATCTTTCCCCAAGCTAACAGTGCTGTTTAAAGCAGAAAACCGTAATAAGTCTTTTTGTTAGCCATGGTCTAAGGAAAACTCTATAGTCTTCTAAATTCAGGGAACATACTTTACTTCCTAATCTCCTCCAAACCAAAGTCTATATTTACAATGAGTTAAGAAAATTACTCTGAAGGGCTTCGACTCACTTTTCTGCAGCAGAGAAAACTGATAAGCATATGGATTTTATTTTATCTATCTCTCATTTGGTAAAAGTTACCTGAGAATATTTTGTGAGTGCAAACATAGTGCTCAGCATAGTTTTGGTAGCTTAATGAGCTTTCTGGCATCTTTCAAACCAGTAACACAAATTATGGTTATAGAAGACATGCGAACAATAAAGCTATTAGCTGCCTCAGAGTTCTGTCCTCATTTTTTTTCTCCTTAGTCTCAGGGTAACATCGTCTGGTCACATGACTTGAACAGCCATAACTGTAAGGATGATACTGAAGCCTACAACTCAAACTCAAATATCTTTCCAGAGTGCCAAACCCATAAATCTCACTGCCGTTCAGGCATCTCCACTAGGACTTCCTATAGTATGCCCAAAACCGAACTCATGGTCATTGTCCTCAAATCGTCTTTCCTTCCTCTTACATTCATCATTTTATTAACCAACAGTACTATCTACCCTGTCGTCTAAATAAAAAACGTAGAATCGCACTGGACTCAACCCCTTGTTTCACACATTATTCTCATGTATCAACAAATGTGTTTACTCTAATCTTAATGTGTCTGCAATCCACTTGCTTCTGCTGTCACTATCTTGCTGACAACCGTGGTCATGCTGACTTACCTACTGCTAGGACTTCCTCACTGGTTTCCCTACCTCCCCATTCTCCACAAAGCCACTAGGTCACGCAGGAGTTTTTAATTATTTTGTGCCTTGGATCCCTATGGCAATCTGGTAAAAACTATGGGCCTCTTCTTAGAATAAAGTTTTTGAATTAACACAATAAAAACATGAAATTGCAAAAGAAACCAATTAGGATGCACCTCCTTTGAGAGGTTTTTCTGAGACACAAAGGTCATTTTCCTGGCACATGAGACACCAGCCACCACCATTTCACTATATGCTACCCTACCTTCTCCTTCCCCATCTGAATTCAACTACACTAAAGTCATACTCAACGTCATCATACTACCTCATCTCTGAGCCTTTGTACATGCTGGCCTCCCTAGTAGGAATAAACTGCATCCCTTCTTTACCTGACTAACTCTCACATTTTCCCTTCAGAATTCACTCAGTCCAGGTATCATCTCACTCATACAGCCTTCCCTAGGGCCCCACATTTGGGCAAATTCTCCTGCACAGGCTCCCACGGCACCCTGTCATTGCATTTTTTCACATCTTATGATCAGTTTCTGTTGGGTATTTAACTCCTTGATGACAGGGCCCATTTCTTATTTATCTTTACATCCTTTGCAGAGTGCCAAGCACAGAGCATACCCTGAATATGTGTTTGCTGCATATACTCATGAAGCAATGAAAGAACTCCCTATCTGATATGCTCAAAGAAAACTTGTACTCTACAGACATGACATGGGATGTCATAAGCTACACTCCCATTTCAAAAGTTGGAGAGAAAGAATAGAAATATTTGGGATTTCTATATTTCTACAAGGGAAACATAAATTATCAGCTAAGTATTTATAAGATCATAGCCAGAAATATCTATATTAAATCATTTTGGGGAAGAAAAATGTACCAACACCACCATCTTGGGAAGCAAAGTTTGTCTCATACTTACTTCAGCTAATCTTGAATGTTTGTGGACCACCTCTGTTTTATTCATTGGTGTGAGCTGCTGCAAAACACTTCGGCTATTTGTCAAAGCTCGTGTCAATCGGGCAAATTTCGTCCAACCTTAAAAATAAGGAAAGAAAGTCTCAGTTTCTCATACACAATGAATAAGAAATCCAACATTCTTGCTAGTATTAAAAAGATCTCAGCAACCACATAATATCCAAAATGAATGCAAAGTATCAAACAAAAGTATTTTCTTTCCTTCTATATAGATGTGCTCATATATTTGAAATGTGGCTATAAAATAATGAGCAATTTTTATGTGTGACTTTTGTGTTTTGCCCATATCTGTGATATAGTCCCCGTAGCCAAGGCAACCAGCTGTCCACAAAATTCTGTGCTCCTCCTTGCATTGTATAGCTTTCTTACTGGGAAATAGCTGTCCAACCAGGAACATATTTCCCAGAATTTCTTGCATCTTAGTATGGCCTATGTCCCTGATTCTCACCCATGGAATGTAGACAGAAGTAATGTGTGTCACTTCCATGCCATGATTGAAGAAGCAACTGTGACTTCTCCATAATTTCTCTTTCTTTCTACCAGCTGGAAGGATGCAAATGACAAGGCCCAAAGGGATAGGAAAGCTGCTGAATAACTGTGTGGGAAAATGCCATATGCCAGCCAGGATCCTTTGCCTTGGACTGTTATATGAGCAAGAAATGTGCTTCTATTGGATTAAGCCACTGAAAGTTGGGGATTTATTTGTTATAGCAGCTTGCCTTACCCTAATAAAAAGTCCTTCATGCATTTGTGTGTAGATATAAGAGAATAAAACTGAATTGCAACAAATCTTACTTTTTATGGTTTATCTCACGCACTTCCATCTTCCTTGTAACATAGCAAAATGTTATTTATCTGTTATTAACAACTGCAGTGATATCTAAATTTATTTTTGGAGTATCTAGAATTGTTAATAATGCCTTCTGAAAGAGCAGTGACTTTTGGGGGAAAGAAATGCAATTTAATAGGAAAGAATTTTCTTCTGGGGCCTCAAATTGACAGCATTGAAATCATTAATCTCAAGGAAATGTCAATAAGAGGTGAACAAATAGAACATAACCAGCCATACTCTTGTCCTGTCTCAATTATCCTTCCTCTAGATATCTCAAAAGCTCCGATTCATTAAAAAATGTTGTTAACACTGTCTGATAACTTCTACAGGTAATAACAGGTAATAAAAACCTCATGAAGGTAATAACAATTACCCTTCATGAGGTCATTTATTAGGCAACTCCTTAAAACTGAAAAACTCCTGATGTTCCAAAGGAATGATGGCAATGATGAAATTTCAGACAATATGACAAAAAAAAAATTAAGGAAGAAATTCTGGAAATACACCTGTACACCTGCCTAATATCTGTCAAACCATAAAATGCAGGTGACATCATTCTTTACTACTATTCTTCAGGCTGATTCTGATTTCATTTAAGCTTTGTATTGCCCCACCAATTCAGGTCTCTCTATGTATTCAATAACTGGATTGGAAAAGAAATAAACTGGCATCAGTTGATGGAAAGTCTTTATTTCTTCTACATTAATGGGACGCATCCTAGTAATTAGAACCAAAAAAAAGGTTAGGTTTTGGGAATCATATGCAAGCCTAAGGCTTACCCTGTACAATGTGCTGCAGAAACAAAAAAAGGTATCAGATATGCCACCAACTCTCTAAAAACTCAACATTAATGAAAAACCAACATGCAATCTCTATGACAAATTGAGACTTTTTCTTTTGAGTGCCAGACTTATGTGTCTAATTAGCCACTGGACCTTTCTTACTACAGTGTTCTACAGGCATCTGACAACACTCAACATGTCCAAAACTGATACCATCTTACCCCTTCATCACCCACTCTGCCTCATTCATGCATCCCTGATCTTCTCAAATGGCCCCATTAGAAAAAGATATTTCTAATTGCCCAAATGAGAAACTTGAAATTCGCCATCCTCTTTTCACTATTACCTACACACACACACATACACACACTCACACACAATTATTTCCCAGCCTTATAGATTATAACATCAATAAATATCTCTCAAATTGAATCTCCTCTCTTCACCCTACTATGTCAGACAACATACCATTTTTCACCTGAGTTAGGCAGCATTCCAAAACCACATCCTCATTGCTTGCAAAATTCTTTCTAAAACACATGCCTTTTACCCTATTACCCTTTACAGAAACCTGAAGGCCTCCAGGATAACACTGTATATCCTTGGTATACAGGTCATTTATTTTCTGATCCCAGTGATTTGCTCTGCCTCTCTCTTGCCACTTTCTCACACATGCTCTGCATCCCAGCCTTATTGAAATCAATAGCAAATCAAATAAAGAATAAATTCAAAATGAAAATTAAATCTACTAGGAATTCTTTGTACACCCTATGCTGTTTTGTGTTTCCATGTTTTCATATGTTACAATCATTCTGTCTGCCTGGAATGTCTTTTCCCTCCCCCATCTGTCTGGCTAACACTTAACCTGGTAACTGCAGCCTCAGTTAAAGCATTACCTCGATGCTTCTTTGATTCACCCGCAAGTGAGACGTGCTCTCCTCTGTACATGCACATCATGGAATGCATACCTCACCTGGTACTAACAACACTGATGCAACTGTTGATTAATATAATAGTCACTCTTGCTAAACTCTTGTTTTTCCCTCCATTCTTACCACTTGAAACAGGGTCTGGCATAAAATACACCGTAACATAAATCAATTGTATTTGTAACTTTAAAAATCAGATATAAAATAAATCTCATTTTGTTTCATTTTCCCTGGTTTTTGGTTTGGTTTTGCTTTGTTTGGTAAAAGTGATGAGGGTACCTTCGGAGGACAGTAACTATATAAGTCATAGGTATATTATAATTTTACCTGGTGATAATTTGTGCACCTTACATCAACAGAATGTTATAATTGCCTTGACTATTTCTAGAAAATTCCAAGTCAATTTTTTACTTACTGAAGGCTCAGATTTCTAAAACAGGTAAAATTACAGCTCTTGATATAACTCAATTGGATTAAAAGAAATGCCCACTTTCATTCCCTGTGTGAAAAAAAGGTTTATCCAAAAAAATATTTTGACAAAAAAAAAAGGAGACATTTAGGAATAAATTAAATGATCCATAAAAGAATACATATCATCAAATTGCAGGTTTTCTCTGATTTCACAGTATCATTCATGAAAATAAATGTGAGGAAGGAGAAATATGACAATGAAAGCTTATTATCATCCTCTGGTTTTCCATTTGAAGCCATCACGAGCACATACTACAACTGTGTTTCTTAATGAGTAAGCAGTAGTTCCTAATAGAAAAAAACTTGTACAAATGTCTGCATATGTGTGTACCTTATTTTATACACGAAGTCAGTGTGATCAAGGAATATTTTGTCTCTTTTCTTTAGCTTATTTTAGTTTCTTGAACGAAAAAAAATCATTTTTAAACAGTAAAAATAAAACACAGGCATTTTTCTCCAAGAGTAAAAATAGGACTATCATTGATTTAAAAAACAGAAAGAAAATGAAAGAGAAAGGTAATATTAACCCATCATTCTAAAAATGTTTTAAGTCAGCATATTCTGAGTAAGACTACCCTTGAACACAGATGAAAAGGGAATTGACTGCATCATGTGACTTTTAGGTGCCAGATCTTGTATTTTCTATCCTTGGTATTAGCCCATTCTCATTTTGCTATAAAGAACTGCCTGAGACTGGGTAACTTATAAAGGAAAGGGGTTTAATTGACTCACAGTTCCACATGGCTGGAAAGACCTTGGGAAACATGCAATCATGGCAGAAGCGAAAGCGAACACATCCTTCTTTACATGGCGGCAAGAACTGCCAAACCAAGAGGGGAAAAATCCCCTTATAAAAACATCAGATCTCAGGAGAACTTACTCACTATAATGAGAACAGCATGCGGTGACCGCCCCCGTAATCTAATCACCTCCCATGAGGTCCCTCCCTCACTGTGGGGATTACAATTCAAATTACAATTCAAGATGAGATTTGGGTGGGAACACAGAGCCAGACCATATTACCATGGTTGACTAACACATAGTGGGCACTAGATCTGTTTTTGTGGAATGTTTTACTGAATGGTTTTGTTTAGTGAATGAATTAATGATGATTAATGAGGAAATAAGTTAAATAGGACTACAGCATCTGCAATATACATAAATATTTAAAATTTAAAGAAGAAAATATATTCAGTTCTTAGGTATCAGCATAGCTTATATGAAAGAAGTCTTTTGGTTGAAGAAGGTAGGAAAGGCATGGTAAGGAAGGTTGGGGAAGGAATTCTGGAAGTGTTAAGGATTATAATCTGCTTTCAGAAAGAGAACTGGGGAACTGCTGGCAGAAAAAAAAAAAAAAAAAAAAGTGGTGGTAAATGTTGAACTGACTCAGACGTACCAGAAGAGAGAAATTTAGAAGAAAAGACTTGGAAAGGATTCCTTCTTCCTAGAGAAATCAAAGCCAAAGGCAGTTGTAAAATTGAGTAATCATTTATGAGTTTTGCTATCAAAACGCCCTAGAACATGGAGAATCAATGCAAAGCAAAGGAATGTTTTGGTCCACATTAAAATCAATGGGAGCATTCAAAGATGAACTTTCTGAGCTACTCAGTAATCTTTCAATTTGTCTCTGATTAGGGCCTTCTTGCAGTTCCATTTCCAAAGAGTAAGGATTTTTCTCACAACGCCTATGCTGTCCTTCTCTCCTTACTGTCAGCACAAACCCCTGCCAAAAACGTTATTGATAAAAACAGAAACATGATAGTCTTCTTTTTAATTTATATAAAGTTATGAAGTACAAGTGCAATTTCTTTACATGCATCAATTATATAATCGTCAGGGCTTTCAGGTTAACTGTGACCTGAATAACATATATTGTACTCATTAAGAATTTCTTATCATCCACCCTCTCCCATGCCTTCACCCTCCCAAGTCTCCAATGTCTATCATTCCACTCTCTACATCCATGTGTACACATTTTTAACACCTACTTAATGAGTGAGAATATGTGATATTTGTCTTTCTGTGTCTGGGTTGGTTCACTTAAGA